TGGGCATCCCAATCTCAGGACTTATCTTTTCATCATTAATCAACTGATACTTCATTCTTGCGCGTGTGTCATTGTTCATTCAACAAGAATTCATAGAGCACCTACAATGTTCAACAGGCACCACTGCAGATGATCTGAGTAGGTGAGTGGTGAGGATGCAGGTGGACAGAGGCTCCAGAGAACAGACTGTGGAAAGAGGGATTTGAGTGCAAGGCTCATTTCAGCCTTGGGCAAGTCACTTTGCTTTTCTGAGGCTCAGATAACTCATCTATAAAACGATTCCTCTGTTATGAGCTGCATTGTGTCTCCCCAAATTCATAAGTTAAGGTCCCAACCATCGGTACCTCATATTTGGAAATAAAGTCTTTATAGAGGTAATTATGTTAAAATAAGGCTATTGTGGTGGGGCCCTAATCCAATGTGACTAGTGTCCTTATAAGAAGAGGAAGAGCCATAGGGGTGCACATGCACAGAGAAACAACCATGTGAAAGGCAGCAACAGGGCAGCCACATTCAAGCCAAGGAAACAGGCCTCAGAGGAAACCAACCCTACTTACACCTTGATCTTGGATTTCCAACCTCCAGAACTGTGAGAAACAAATAAGTTGTTTAAGCCACCCAGTCTGTGGTATTTTGTTATTGATAGGGGTATAAGGGGAGAATAAAAATATGGTTTTTGTTTTTCCCTTCTCTCTCTTTCTCTTTCCCACCCTTTTACTAACAGAATGTGTAATTAATTAGTTAACCATAAATTTAATTTTATGCTATGGCTAAGATTTTGTTGCAGTTCTTAGTTGATCAGGCAGAAAAAGAGACTTTTAACCCAGCCCTGAACTTACACACCTGGCCACCAGGAATGTGAAGGATGGTCTATTAGGTCTTAGAAACACTGGCACGACACACACCTGGTCACCACTTAACCAGTTTCAGAACACTGACCATCCTGTTCTGGGGGCCAGTAATAAAAACATTCATCAAGATCCCCAGAGGGACTCAAATTCCAGGACAGCAAATCACCAGTACCCCCCTTTGTACTCTCTACACATATTCCCTTCCCCTGATTTCTTCATTCTGCTTTCCCTCTCCCTCCTTATAAAAACCCTGGGCTGCACTGAGAGGGTGAGATGGGTTTTTGAGGACAAAAAAAGTCTCCTATCTCCCCAATTGCTGGCCATTGGAATAAACTTCTTTCCTTTACCTCAGCACCTGTCTTGTCAGTTTGGCTTTCACAGTGACAGGCAGTTAGGACCTGGCCACTACTATACTTACTTTATGTGGTTATCAATAATATTAAATCATATAATGCACACAGAACACTTAGTATAGCCCCTGACACATATAAAACAATAACTACATGCATGGAGTTATTTTTGCTATTATTATCACAAAGATAAACTAGACATCAATATCACACTAAAACTATACTATATCAAGATGAAGAAACATGGACTGAAATATCTATAAAACAAGATGGAGAATACTAAGTGCCAAAAAGAGGAAAGAACAGTCCACGGTAGTCAGAGGAGGGAGAGCTGGGAGGAGGAACCGAGGGGAGGCTGAACTGGTTTGATAAGGGGGTAGTTTTGACCTGAGATGGGTAGGATTGGCACATGCAGATGGCAGTGCTAGGATGGTAATTGTATGAATGTTTTATTATGCATATTATACATTAATATGCCATGTTCATAAATATCTATGCTTAATTGACCTGGAGGAATATTAGCTCATTATTCATTCAGTCACTAGATATTTATTGGACGCCTACACTGAGGTACTGTTGTTGATGTTAAGGAAACAGCAAAACAGTCTCTACCTTCATCAAATTGATATTCCAGGGGGTGATGTTCATGATTTTTAAGAATAGAAAGTTTCTGAAATGGTATGTGCAGTATGATCCTATTTTAAACATAAATGTGAATATATTAGTTTATATTTTATAAAAATGAGATCATGCGTATATAGTTATAAATAAAGAGAAAGTGAAGAAACTTGAACAACAGAAATTTGGAAAGATAGATACAAAAGTGTTAACTGTGATTATATTTTAGTGCTGGAATTACCTCGTTTCATTTTTCTTTATCTGTATTTTCCAAATTTGGAGGCAATAAACTTGTGCTGTATATATAATGTTTGTTTTAAATTTTATTTTATTTCTTAAATTATAGTTGACATTCAATATTATTTTGAATTAGTATCAGGTGTACAGCATAGTAGTTACACATTTATATAATTTACAAAGTCATCCCCCAGTAAGTCTAGTACCCACCTGGCATCATTATTACAATATTATTGACTACATTCCCTATGGAGTACTTTACATGCCCATGACTATCATGTGACTGCCAATTTGTACTTCTGCATCCCTTCACCTTTTTCACCGAGCCCCCCAGCCCCCTCCCATCTGGCAACCATCCGTCTGTCCTCTGTATCTAGGCATCCGTTTCTCTTTTTTTATTTTGTTCTTTAGATTCCACATATAAGTGAAATCAAATGGCATTTGTCTTTCCCTGTCTGACTTGTTTCACTGAGCATAATACCCTCTAGGTCCATCTGTGTTGTTGCAAATGGTAAGCTCTCATTCTTTTCATGGATGAGTAATATTCCTTTGCATGTATGTACCACCTCTTCTTTATCCGATTGTCTACTGATGGGCACTTGGGCTGCTTCCACATCTTGGCTATTGTAAATAACACTACAATGAACATAGGGGTGCGTATATCTTTTCAAATTAGTGTTTTGTATTTCTTCAGATAACCACCCAGGAGTGGCATTGCTGGGTCATAAGACAGCTCCCTTTTTAATTTTTGAGGCAACTCCATACTGTTTTACACAGTGGCTGCCCCAATTTGCAACCCCTTCGACAGTGCACGAGGGTTTTCTTTTCTCCACACCCTCACCAACGCTTGTTGTTTGTTGACTTACTGATAGCCATCTGACATGGTTTTAATTTGTATCTCTCTGATGATTAGTGATGCTGACCATCTTTTCATATACATGCCTGTTGGCACCTGTATGTCCTCTTTTGATAAATGTTTACTCAGGTCCTCTGCCCATTTTTATTGAATTGTGGTTTCTTTTTAAAATAAATAATGTTTTAAAGGGTATGTATTATATATGCAATTCAGCAACTAAGTGCTAAAAGTTAGAATTTAACAGAAGTAGCAAAGAGCCCTTTCCTACTATCTTATTCCCATCTCCTAGACGGTTGTCACATTTCTAACCCCAAAGGACTCTTTCTGTTGTTACTATTTTTCACATTTCCACTTGAAGGCCTTTGATGCTCAGCTCGTTCCCCCCACATCTGCTACCATCCTTCTTGTCTGTGGTCCATAAATCCTTTTATTTGATTAAATGACATCTTTAGCTTGAAGGGAGTGCTTTTCCCAAAGAACATTGTGCTCAGCTTCTGAAGCTTTGAGCTTTTAGAAGGAAAAATGCTCCATAACTGCAAGCGATTGCTGTTCCTATTTGTTTTATAGTTTTTAAATGTGTAGAACATGTTCAAATAAAGCTGGCTAGAAATTAGTTCATGGATTTTATAATGACAGATAAAACCCATGGAATTTAGGATTTCCTTGATGGTGTGGGTCTCTGGTTTACAAGAGGGTTTCTGATATAAAAGCATGGCCCCCTTCCTGGCCCCCAAAACAAAGGAGATGGACCTAGACTCACCAGCCTTGGGACAGAACCTCAGCTGTTGGGGGCATTGGCAGAGCCAAATTCTAGGCTGAGGTTCAGGAAAAGTTTGCTGGTCATGGCATCACTTTTGGCAAACACAGTTTAACTTTTTTTTCCATTGAGGCCCCATTTGCTGGGCATGACCTGGTTTATCTGGCAAAGCTTGTTAGTGGTGCCCCAGCTGTCCAGAGCTTTCAGATAGACTGGGTGTGGTGGTTTTAATAGGCTCACAGTGTAGAGTATGATATTTTCTCATTTCTTTTTTTGCTATTTACTCTGGTTTCTTACCCAATCCTTCCCGTCTTTTCTTTTTAATTCAAATGCTGGAAATGTTTAACATTTTGCAGTGCATGGATTTATTCCATAAATATTTTCTGATCCCTATTGGTCACTTGTGATTGTGGACCCTCCTGCCACTGTGACTAAAATTGATCAACTTGCCTATGTAATTTTTTTTTAAATGAAAGTCCAGTGGGGGTGGTTATAGTTTGACTAATGAGTTACATGGATTATGGACAAAAGGGAATGAGTTATTTTAAAATTGAAATGAACATGCATTGATATGTTCATGTCACTGGAAAAACTCAAAAGTTAAGGAAAAAATCTGATTCCTCATTGAAAAAGCCATTTATGTTACTGTTTCACTTTGTAACTTAAATTTTTTCAGTTTTCTATTGCTATTAGGAAAAGTACATTCAATGGCCTATCAGATCTGGCCTCAGCCTATTCTGCAGCCTCAAGCCTTGCATTCTAACCAGAGCATAATTGACTAGAGGTAAACTCCTTTACCTCCAATCTTCACATTGTATTTTTAGTCCCTGGACTGCTTCCCCTATTGCTCTCAGTATGGGTAACTCCTGCTTTTCTGTCAGGTCTCAGCTCACAAGTGGCTTCCTCTGGAGAACCTTCCCAAATCCTCTTGGTCTAGGTCAAGGTCCCCTCCTTTGTGTTAGGTCATTATAGTAGGTCATTGCCTGTCCACTCCTCTGTCTTCTCCATTAGTCTGTAAAATTGCTAAGAGTAGAGACCCTGTGTTTATGCTGCTATTTCATCCCTTGTACCTAGCACAGTGCCCAGCTGGCTCATAGTAGGTGTTGAATAAATATTTCTTGACTGAGTGGGTACATTGGAATAATTTTTCCAGAGAATGAATCAGTTTTGAAGTGGTTTTATTAGTCCTGTGCTGCCATTTACTTGGGTGCCTCAATTATCCAATCAGTCGATCAGTTCAGATTGAACAATTATTATTGAACACCATCCTATGTCAGCTATGTCCCATTACACTATGCAATTGACCTTCCCATTATCTTTCTGTTTTACAGTTGAGGACCCTCAGGCTCAGGAAGGCTGAAGAACTTGATCATGGCAACGGATAGTGAACAGAAGAAATCCAGGCTTCAGAGACCCAACTCATTGCTCCTCTTTAAACTTCGGACTTTACCATGTTTTTTTGCTGTAACCGTCTGATAGACCATTGCATTAGAACCCAGGAAGCCTTGAATTAACTACTTAAAAGGTACAACTTAGAAATCAATATGGAATCTTGGAGGGGAATTAGGAGAGGAAGCGCTGGCCTATGGATCCAGACCCCTGGGTTCTCTTCTTACCTTTGTTACTAACTAGCTGTGTGACATTGGACATGTCACTTGGTCTTCCTGGACCTTAGTTTTCTCATCTATTCAGTGACTGGGAGTGATTGGATACTTTTTTAGGGGCCCTCCATCTTCAAATTCTATAATCCTAACCTTGAAAACTGGTAAGAGGCGGCAGACTCGCACAACGATCAGTGCTCAGGGTATCAGCAAGTCCATCCCAAGGAGCTTACCTCTCAGGGGCTTTTCTGAAATTGCATTCTGAAGGTAAGAAGTAAAGAGAATAAACACAGCTTCGTATCACTCTCTTCTTTACTTTTTTGTACATGCCAAGTAGCAAAATAATGACCATGAGCCCCAGTTCTCATCAGCCGTCATCAGTGGCCTGTGAATACGCCGGAACACAGGCTGGCTATCTTCCGCACACCTTCCCGTATTCGCACAACACCTGTACGAAAACTGTTTGTAGCTCTGTGCCTCTTGAAACTACTTTATGTATTTAAGCAATTAGCAATCAGACTTCATCACGTTGCGGCACAAGCAAATCTGAAATGTAAAAATTCAAATTGTAGGGAATGAAAATAGATTTTAAGTTGTTTGCATATAAATTGATTTCCATGAACAATTAAAACTTACCATATTTGCAATGATTTTTAGATGTGCCAAAGTAAATAAAGTAATTATATTACCCACGTGTGAACGTAGTAAAAGACCAGGTAAACTGTCATTCTGAATTTTAAAAGAGCCAATTTTGGCTTTAATGTAGCTGAAATCAACAGAGTGAACTAAAAATATATGTAACTTTAAAACTTAAAAGTTATCATAGAATGTATATCAGTAAATACCTTAAAACTCCTTTTAAAAAAAATTGAAGTTGTGGAGAGGGAAACAGAAAAGGAATTAAAATTAACGAGATTTGAACTTGAGAATTCTTCTATGTTAAAACAGCAGCCACAGCCAAAATCATAGAAAGTTAAATAGAAAATGAAGATACTTTCTTCTGTTTTCTCTGATTGTGTGACTTTGAAACTATATTAAAAATCAGGAAATTCATTTTTTCCTGTCACCAGCTGTCAATGTAGGCAAGTCACTTTACCTCTCTGGAGAAAAGTTTTGCTGTGCATGGAGCTAATATTTCATGAAAACTGTTAAACCTTAGCAACTTTAGGAAAATGCTAGAGTGTCCTACTAGGAATGATACCACAGATTACAGCCTTATTCCAAGTTAAATAAATGCTAGAAGTGTATGTCTGCTCTTCTTCAGAAAAATGATTCATTTTGCTTCCATACTGAATCAACTTCCTGTCTTCAAATGGGATTTCCATTTATAAAAAAGTCCTGACCATTGACATTGGGGTATAGGCATGTAAAAGTCAAACCCCACTGATCATAGATGAGAAAATTCCTGAGATTCTTAACTTGTGTGGCAAAAGGTAGAATATACTCCATTAAAAGCCAGATTTAGAATTGAAAGATATATTTTTAGCAAGATTTTTGAAGCATTGCGACACCTCATGGAAAATGGATCCCTTTCCTGCATAAGAATGTTGCACATTTTTTGAGAAGTTAATTACAAACAGCGTTGCTTCCTTGCTGACCAACAAATCAATAGCATCCTAGAGTTTTGTGGCACTTTTATTGAAAGAAAATACTTTACTCAGGTGAGAAATTCTATTTTTCTTGTTCATAAAATTCCTAATTTGATTTGTCTCTGTGAAAATGTAAAAATATGTATCACTTGTGGACCATTGAGAGAGTTTATTCCAACGTTGAAACTCAGAGAGAAGCCAGGAATGGGGCGAGCTTCAGTGTTAAAACTTGGTTTTAAATACAATTCCCTTTCAAAACAACTGAAACCTCAACAATGTTGATTTTCAGAGCAGAGCTCATTTTATTTTATTTTTTATTATCATTTATACATGTTTAACTTTAATTAAACATGTATAAATGATAATAATCCCTCATCAATTTATTCTGTCCACGAATTTAATTCTCATGCTGCTGGACTTTGGTATAGCAGTCTGCATTCTTAAATTCATCTGCTTCTGAACTAAAAAGACTCCTGGACGCCCCCCTCAGTCCCACGGTACCGTCTCACCATTGGCTAAGCATCGTCCACTTTGAGCTGTGAAGCCCATACTTACGAATTTCTCCTCCTTGGAATATCAATAGTTAAAAGTGCTTGGTAGGGCCCTCTGCATGAGGCTCTGAGATTGTTCTTTCAGGTAAGCATCAGAGGAAGGCAGAAAATATTTGTGGCTAAAATGAAATTAATCATGGCTTGTGCTGTCTTGATGTTGAGCTTGAATGAGCTTGAGTCACTTGTTCCAGAGTGAACTCTATCAGATTCCAGGATGAGCTACAGGAGTCAGCTGGAGGGAGAAGCGGGGGGCAAAGATGGGGAGCAACGAGATAAAGATTCAGTTAGTGCAGGAGAGAATGGTGCTGGCCGTGCGGCTCGGAGGATAGAATAGGGGTGGAGGCCAAACGAGGACTTGAGGATAATACATAAATGATGGCAGGAGATTGCTAAGGCTATAAACGGGGTCAGTGGAAGAGGCATAGTAAAGTTGAGTGTGGTGATTATTGAGGGGCACAATGGACTTTTCATCAAACACATTCCTAAAAAGTTCTGTAAAAATGTAATTGTCATAAAGTAAAAATATATTTAATAGCTATTTAAAGAAAACGTAGGTCTCTAAGAGAAACGGGTGCTTTCATAATATGAATACCAGTCCCCTAACTAACTTCTTTGACAATTCAAGGTTTTTGTTTATATTGAGTTTTCTTAGAGCAACGGACTCAGTTGAGAGAGAAATACACATTATTTTAGCTTTGGGTACAGCATCAAGAAAGGACAGAATGTATCCAACAGAAAGAGGCTCTTGCAATGATCTCACTGAACTTCATTCTCCAGATGAGAAAACTGAAGGTTAAATGCTTCCCTCAAGGCCAACCAGGGGCTCACTGAGAGTTAACCAAGTGTTAAGTGATTCGTTTAGGGTCCTTTGCCGGCTGGCTGAAAAGCGAGAGCTGGGACCCAGAGTCCCGCTTCCCCCCAGGCCTCCTTCTCGGCATCCCGCTTGGACTGGATGGGTTTGTGTGCGTAGAGGAGGGGACACTGCACAGGGTGGCTGCACGCTTTTGTCCTTGGGGGCTCTTTCCAGCTTCCAAATTCCATGATTCTATATCATCACTGCCTCTTCTGTTTTTTAAAACTGTTACCTAAAAGATTCATTGTAAGGTCAGGAGGCAGAGAAAGAGAAAGAAAGGAGGAAGGAAGGAAGGAAGGAAGGAAGGAAGGAAGGAAGGAAGGAAGGAAGGAAGGAAGGAAGGAAGGAAGGAAGGAAGGGAGGAAAGAAAGGCTGTTATTGGCTCCCAAATGGCCAGGGAGTATAGGAATATATCTTTTAGAAGGAAAAAGATATGTGAAAAGAAGAAATTTATCTTCCAGAAAGCAATGCAGCTTTGAAAAACATGAACCCGGCTTCCCTTCCGTTCTGCCAGAATCTATCAAACACAGCGCCTTAAATTGGTCCAGGTTTCACAGATACCAGGAGACCACAAGTGTGATGTTTTTGGAGATGCCATACATCTCCCAGACCATGTCATTTTGTTCCAGTTTTTCTTCTGTGCACACCATTTAACTTAGCTCCTTGTCATTTCTTCTCAGAGGTTCCACATGTGTCTCTAGTTCTCCAAAGTGAGCCCTTTATTTTTAACCGCAGAAAATGGGTTATGTGAGAATTCGAGGCAGGAGGAGGAGTGTGGGGGGGAGAGAGGGAGAGAGAGATTGAGATTGAACACCATTCTCAACCACCCACTTTTCTATTCTCTGCAAAGGACCACAGAGATGGTCCACAGATAAGGGCTCCAGTTTTAACCTCAGGATTTGAAAATTATTTTATTTCTAAGTAGAGGCCTCACATCACCTATTTCCTGTTTTGATATCTTTTCCCTCTTATCTAACATACGCATTTCTTGCTAAAAATATTTTAGATCATATGCCTTCATATGAAGTGTTTAATGTAGCAACATTTTTAGTTGGGTTACCCAAAGAAGAATGGGCGTGAGCTGGAAGAGATATTAGAATTTCTGGGGAAGTTTCCTCATTTTAGAGATGAGAAGACTGAAGCCTGCCCGGCTGGGCGTGGCTCAGCAGTTGAGCGTCGACCTAGGATCCAGGCGATCGGGGTTTGATTCCCGGTCAGGGCACATGCCCTGGTTGCGGGCTTGATCAATGACTTTCTCATCATTGATGTTTCTGTCTCTCTCTCTCTCCCTCTCCTTTCCTCTCTCTGAAATCAATAAAGATATATTTTTTTAAAAAAAGAGAGAAGACTGAAGCCTAATGCAACTATATTAGAAGAGGGCTAGCCAGGCATTGCCTCAGCTGCCAGTCTATAAAGAATCCTAACATGTCACGAGGATAAATGAGAGATCAGAGCTAGGTAACTCAGATTTTCATTTAGAGCTGACAGGCTGCTAAAATACCTGGAACTAAATAATGTGTGGCGTAGTATGTTAACCAAGAGGAAGTGATTTGTTTTTATTATCTGAATTTTAATTTCCTCAATATGCCTCCAAGCACACTGATTTTTAAAGTTACAAAAGAAAAGAAGACAAGAAATACATAAGAATGGGTGATATATTCTTAGAGTTTTTTGAAACATTGATACTATTTTGGCCAATAAAAAATATATGACACTTAGATTTATTTCTGAAAGTAAACACTTTAAAATTCAAATTATCTCTATTCCTACAAAATAACAAGAGTGAAAAAATAATGGTTGATAGGGTGCCAAAGCATGAGCTTGTCTCAGATATCTTCAATTTTTAAAAGGCAGACTTTACCAAGATCATGGAGCCACTGCGACATTCCTATCAGCGGATATAATTCAACAAATATTGATGCTGTGCCTGTGCCAGAATGCTGGGGCTTCACAAAATGAAATAGTGACTTAGTCCCTTCCCCCAGGGTCTTACATTCTAATCATGAGAAAGACAAGCAGACATAAACAATATCGCAAACTAGCTCGCTGAGATAGCCGGAGGTCCCTGGGAACACGGAGTATGGAAAGCCTGTATCTACTCATGGAAACGGAAAGGCTTCCCAGAGGAGGCCACATCTGGGCTGATGATTGAAGGGTGAGCAGGAGTTTGTCAAGTGGAAGGGGGCAGGAGAGGGGAACCGAGGAGTCCTCTGGTCACTGGCAGCATCTGCCTAGGCGACAATTTCCCCAGAAGATTGGGAAAATTGTTTTGGCAAAACTGTTCAGCTAAAACATTCATATTATTCTTTTTTAAAATTTATCTTTATTGTTGAAATTATTACAGATGTGACCCCCCTCCCCCGCAATGATCCCCTCCTTCCCACTACCTCTCCCTCCCCAGGCCTTCGCCGCACTATTGTCCGGTCCATGGGTTTTGCAGTATTATTAAAAAGCATCAGCAAAAAAGTGGGGAGGTGTAGTGGTTGTAATGGTGCACGGCCTAGGTCCCCCCTTGAGGCCTTACGGAGTCTTCCTCCAACTCCTGAGAGCAATGCCAAGATGGGCCTCAGCTACCAGGCTTCTCCAGGAACACTCGTCTGAAAAGTGTCCTTGCCTAAGGTCTCAGCCACCTTCTGGGGCACATCCCAGGACTGGCCAAGGTGAGGTGCCCCAACCCGAGGCAGTCCTTCAGCGCCCCGAGGGACCCTGCGCCCACCTGCCCCACAGCCCCGCTTTCCCCCTTGCCCAGCCTTGCTCCCATCTTTTTCTCTTCACGACTGTCGATGCCAAGAGTACCCTTAATAGCGCTAATCTCCATCTCAGGAGACAGGGACAGCAGGATGACTAAGCCTCACAGGACCAGTGAAGATGCGGAATAGCCTATTTCGAGGAGCCAGAGCCCCCCGTTCTCACTGAGGGTGGCGGGGCTGAGAAGCCGGGGTCGGTCAGCAGCCTGTGACTGTCACACTGGAACCTTTCCTTCTAACACTCTCGTCTTAGAACAGCTTTGGCCTTTTGGCCCCCTTGTGACAACCCCCAAACCCTTCCCCCCATTCCTACCTTCGGAGCTTCTAGGAGCATCTTGGGCTCCTGGCTCCAAGTGACTCTTCTGGGAGCTTCTAGCCCCGCTACCATCCCAGGAGTCCCCTGGAGATTTCCTCCCCACGTACAACGCTCTGAACAGTGTTTCTCAAAATGTGGTCCTCGGCCTGCCCAAATCAGGTCATAGTCTCCACTCCAGTGCTACTGATTTAGGTGAAGCTGGGAGATGGGTGGGGGATCTATATTAGAAATAAGCTTCTCGGAAAATTCTTCTGCCTCCTGAAGTTTCACAATCTCTTCCTCAGAATCTTGGGGATGTATTAAAAGGAAACAAGGCTAAGTGTTTCTGAATTGTTATATGTGAGTTAGTCAGCTTTATAGTTTGGTGATGGAAACAATGTTGACACTGGGCTTACTTTTGTTGGTGATGACCTTGGGACTTCAGTGTGCCGTCTGGGGGCAGGACAGAGCTGTCTAAATCTAACAAGGCTGCAGAAACCAGGCAACTCTGACCACATCTGGGATGGTTTTGGGTATCGTTTGGATCTAGGGTGGGATATTGGGGGCTATTTTTTCAGAAAACAGAGGCTTGCTGAAAGAGAGAGCTGGGTGACTATCAGGCAGTTTTCAAAGGTTTAGTTCCAGCTCATTCACAAGTTTCTCTCCCACTGATGGTATAGGGATGAGTTTTAGCTAGGGTGGAGCACCCAAGGATTTTCCAAGGGATACTGAAATTTAGAGAGTGCTACAGTTGTTGAAAATATTTTTTAAAAAACAGCTTACTTGTGGTATAAATTAATTAAAACAAGTTTAATTCAATGCACCTCTTTTGAATGTACAGGTTCAATAATTTCCTGACAAATATACAGCTTTGCAACCATTCCCATGATCAAGATAAAGAACATTTCCGTCATGGTCAGTGATTCTGTTGTCCTTGCCTGGGACTCCCCCTCCTTGCTGCTTCCAGAAAATGATTCCACACAGAAAGCCAGAGCAATCATGAGACTCACCTCGTGTGTTTCCTTTTCTTCGAAGATCACAGTTCTGTCCTGCCTGCTGTCCAATATCTAAAAATATTAGTTAGCATGTTTTGTTAAATTTACAAGCTATGGTGGGAGTATAAGTCTAGTTCCAATGACTTAATCATGGCTGAAAGCAGAGTTTCCAATATTAAATATTTTAACATTTTTCAATCTTTCTCCCGCGGTGGTTGAACGCTAACTCTAGTTCTGAGCCAGGTCCTTTGATAACCGGTGAGAGACCTGGGCAAGAGGGGTCTGCGTGCTGGGCCCCCCGCTTTAGAGGAACCTGCGAACACGTACACAAATGAGTTTATGGGGCACACGGGCAACTGATACAGCCCGATCCATACCAAAGCCATATTCTTGTGACTTCCACTGCTCGGGCCCCAGGGCACCGCTTCTTTACATCATCTCTCTATGTTCTCTAATCAAAATGTCACAAAATGTAGCTACATCTGAATGCCAGGGAGCTTCGTCGGTTGTGCCCCTGAAGATTTCAGAGGCAGACGCTGTTTTAGGGTGCTAGGAGGATTGAACAGCAGAAGCACTCAGTGAGAGAAAAGAGAAATTAACTTGTCAAATTCTTCCTCTCAGCCTGAATACAATCAATTCTTATTTATCTTGCCAATAGTGCCAAATGTTCATTTTCTTTCTTCTCTTTGTGTTTCAATTTGTTGTGCCAGAAAGACTGACAAATTGCTGTGAGTATTTGTAACAGTTGCACATGACAGCTGAGGAATCTTGGAAAGAGTAAAAAAATGAATATTTCTGTTAACTTTGTATGTATGTAGATGAAGATACATGCATTGTGAAGTGTGATACTGATTCTTTACCTTACTGAACTGATATTGAAGTCTACATTTTGAAAAGGCTAAATTCTGTTAAAATGCTTATTAAGATTTAAGTAAATTTTCAAAAGAGCAAATCTTGTAAATTCAGCATTATTTTAAAACTTTTAACTGAACGTTTTTCTATTCATTCATTATAATTTGTATTTTGCCTTTTAATTTTAATAGATGACTGAATATGTCAGATGAAATAAAATTTCAAAAACATTAAAAATTTTATTTTTAACATTGAATTTAAATGTTCGATAAAATGTATTTAAGATTTGTGTACTTTGGATAAATCATATTTTCATATTTTACACCATTGAGAATGAGCACAGTTTGAAATCATGATGAATGTAGAAAATATAAAAATTTAGTTCAGCTATTTAGCTGAAGAGGTAAGAGTAACGTTGTCATTGTGAAGGTGTATATTTGTCAGGGCGGGAAGATAGAATGTATTTCATTTAGGGGTTCGTTACTGGCTTGGAACTTTTAAATAGTTACACTTAGGATATGAGAGCCATCGATTGTATTCCTGCTCTGGACTCCGTGACTATTAGGGGTGGGCCTGGATGAGAGGAGTCGAGACAAGTCTGCTCCCCAGCTGGCAGAGGGTCTGGGTGTGGGTGTTGTGTCCAGAATGGGTGGGGTGAGGCGGGGAGTATAGGAGCACTGACTTGAGAACATTTGTCCCCAGAATTGCTAGTTACGGCTCTGGTCTGCGGTTTGCTTTCACTAATCGGTAGTTTTGTAGTGGGGGTTGGGGGCAAGCAGGCTGGGCTTGGGGGGCAGGATCCCAGCCGACAGAGAATGTACGTACGAACAGGGCCCCTGAGCTTGACATCCGTCATAGACAAGGTCAGAGGTGGTGGTTGGGGCAGAGGGGAGAACAGGCAGGAAATGCCCTCCCCGTCTCCGCTCCGGGGGTCCCGCGGCCTACCAGCACCCCTTGGCTACAGGCTCCCACTGGCCAGTTGTGCCAAGACCCCTGAGATGCTTCCTGCACTGGTCACGATCAGCCATACTCTGAGCTGGTGGAAAACATCACTGACTCCTGCTCAAAGGGGCAGTAGGAGACAGAAAAATAAAGGGTTATTTTTATCTACCCCATGTGACTAAGAATAGTATTTGCAGTGATGTCTTATAAACAGTTTAGTCATAAGCACCTCACTAGGCATGTCTCCTGTGACAAAATTTATGTTCTGCCTGTGATCGCCTCTGCTGGGTTACTCTAACCGAGCTGGGATTGATGGTGTGTTGTCTTTGTGCCAGTTTCTGTGCTCGGCAGTGGGGACTTCGGGCAGGAGAGAACGACCATCCGCGTTTAATGGAGTGCTTCAGCCGTGAGAGGAAATTGTGCCTGTGAGAAAAGCCACTGAAACAAATCAGGGACATTTAAAAACAACCACGTGGGGCCATTCATTTGGCTAGCAGATAGTGCATATTTCTCACCAAAGCGATCTCTCTCCGGCACATCCAGTGTCAGCAAAGCTAAACTGACAATTGCCTTACCCAAGGGGAACCGTTAGTGCCGGTCACAAATTAGCCAGAGACACGGGATCTGTTAGAGGGCAGAGACTGTGCCACATTCATTTCTGTGCCTCCTGTACCTGGCTGGGGGTGCTCAACCGGGGCTGCACACTGCACGCACCAGGGAGCTCTAAAAACACAGCTGCCCGAGTCCCACTCCAGACCCATGAAATCAGAACCTCTTAGAGACGGTGGCACTGGCGTGCCCTAGTTGTTAAAGCTCCTCAGGTGATCGCAATGCACAGTTAACTGGCATTTGCTAAGCCAGCTGTCAAGCTGGACACGCAGTAATTACTCATGAACTGGACCTGAAGCAAGCAGCTTCTGCGGATTGCGCTTCCCTGAGAGCAAGGGAAGGGCAAGGGAAGGGCCCAGCTCTCTNGCAGTAATTACTCATGAACTGGACCTGAAGCAAGCAGCTTCTGCGGATTGCGCTTCCCTGAGAGCAAGGGAAGGGCAAGGGAAGGGCCCAGCCCTCCAGTCAGCAAACTGCGAAGCTGGGGCGGTTTATCTAGAGGTGCAGCCCCCTGGCCATTAAAAAGGTGCATGTGGAGGGGGCAGGGGGGCTTTAGGCTCTTTTGGGAAGCAGTGAGGCACAGCTTTTCTAAGACTGCCTCTTCTGGCCAGAAGTCCAGGGATGTGGTGAAATCATTAGAATTTTAAAGTTTTACCACATCTGCTGCTGCTTGTGGAATAAATGACCTCTGTTCAGATTTTCCCGTTTGCTCATGTGTCTGAGATAGATGCAGCTTCCTTGGGTACATGGTGGAAAATCTGGCCATGTGACCCTAACAGAGAGACAAGGACGGCCATTCTCTGCGTGTATGAAATGGGCAGCCCCGAGCCACTCGCTTCTGTGAGCTTTACATGTGTGCCAAAATGTGAGTCTTGGCCTAAGGGGGTCCCAAGCCCATATATTTTTGAACTTCCCAAGTTCACAGAGTGATGTACAGATTTGTGTACAACACAGATATTAAAACATTCAACTAACATTTCTAATGAGAGGATTCGTTAATAGACTGAGGATCGATGAATATACTCAGTAGCCCTTAGTCTTTTCTCTTCTTCCCCGGAAAGGGGAATTAGTGCGTACCCATGCACAGTTGACTACTGTGGGCAGTGTTTTTATTTATACCTGTTCTTTATGGAAATTTCCCCCACCTTGACTCTTGACTATGCTTGGCTGGGTTCCAGGGCCGGGCTGAGTGATGACTGTCCAAAAGGAAGGAACAGTAGGCCCGGTGTTGCAATGTTTGCCATTGTTACTTGTATCCTCTAGTAACGTGTCTTCATAGCAAAGGACATGCTTGAACATTTTGGGGGATTGCTTAATAACTTAGATAAGCTACCTTAAGTTCTCAAAGAGAAAAAGAATGAATGGAAAGATGAATGGGGGGGCAGGTAAATGAAGGGCCAACAACAGCAAACTCTGACATCTGTGGCTGCCCGCGATCGCTCTGGGCTGCAACACTAGCCCATCTTGGCTTTAGTTTCGGTCAGGTTTTGTCTGTGTAGAGGAGCTGTGTCTGCCGATTGACAGTGAACCCAATATCGATTTCACTTCCCGTCAGGTTTTGTGCCATTCTGGTCATCCATCCATAAATCAGATATGCCTCATGTCCTCGTGTCTGTAATTGATAGTGAGTATAGAATGAAATGAAATGTTTAGGGTACACCACCAGAAAAGAATGGACTTTTAAAAATACGTCACTTTATGTTTTATTCTGTTTATAACCTTATACATCTAATAACAATGACAAGTTTCTTTGGAAGCTTGCTGCCACTTGTAAGACTGGAAAAATGTTACTAAATCTTGGGAATTTTATAGCTAGGAACCTGGAGCTATCGAGTCCATTTTATAGACAAAGAAACTGAGACCCAGAGAGATTGATTTATCTTCGATCACGCAACAGCACAGCCAGAACCAGGACCCAGATGGGACGTAACTGGTCAAACTGGGTCAGGGAGCAAAGTCTAATGTGGACCTCTGGTCATGTGGTGAACAGTCCTTCTTTACTTCTACCGAGAATAGGGAAAGTCTGTTTGTCAAGACAGATGGATTTGGGAGGTGAGGGGTGGGTAGGAAGAAGAAGGTGGGGAGACAGTGGGGGGTTGAATGTTTGTCTATGTTAGGACTGAACTTCCTCCACGCACTGGGAGTCCAGGCCACTTAGGGATTGACTGAGATCTGAACTGAGGGGATGGCCACATCTTATTGGTCTCGGGACCAACAGAAGGTATGTCAATTCTGTCCTCTTGCCAAATTGGCCCCTGGGCCGTGACAACCACACCGGTCTTGCCCTGGTAGCGACTCCCACAATCCTTAGTTGAAAGTGGCCCCCATTGCTCTGTATCTTTTACAATTGTCTCCAGCACTCAGTTCCCAGCCCAGACATTTTAGGGATAAAAGCGAGAGTGAACATGGCAAATGAAACCCTGAGTGTCGCAGCAGTGAGTGGTGACAGTGTTCCTGAGACAGAGAGTCTGCTGAGGAAGGAGAGAGGGAATTAATTAATACTGATTAGCACAGTGTTTACATTGACTTGAGTGGGGTTCTGTGAGCCGCTCGATCGTGGAGAGCTCGCTTCCCTCTTCAGGTCTCCTTTCCGCATCTGCATAATGAGACAGGGAAACTAAATATTCTTTCAGCTCTAACATTCTAACAAGTACTTTATGACCCTAATGATGTCGACTCTCTTTCCCACACGTGGTTCAGTGATGGTAGCACGTGGAGAAGTGGACAGGGAGCGGGGCAGCACTTGGGACTTAAGCATTGGCCCGTTTGCAGCCAGTTCACCAGCTTGGCATCCAGTACCGTCCCTTCACCAGGCCGCTTACTTGCTGGGACCTGACACCGATACACTTCACTGAGCATGCTCAGCATTGATTCACTTCTGCAACCTTTAAAGTCTTTCTTCCCAGCCATAGCCTCTCCACCCTCTAGCAGGGCTGAGTCGGGGACAGTGAACCTCCCTTTCTGTGCTAAGACTGTGGACTTAAGCTGCATGAAGGAAATAGGCCACTTGGAGACCTGTTAATACAGCTTAATGAGACAAGCCATAAGTTTCTTTGTGATCTTAGGATCTGAACCACAAAGAATGACTTTAAAAATATTTTTGAACTTTGGATTTCATTTTGGATTCCAAAAAGCCTCTGCCACATGTGAATCGTTACTTGCAGAAGTGTCCTACATATGATCAGTTATACTGTCTGTTGATCTTTACTTATCTTTAGTTAGTTGAGCTTTCTCCGTAACAGGAATTAATACATGGACATTCTTTGGTCCTAGAGGAAGCATTTTACCCAGGAAATGAAAGTCTGCTGTTTTCTCTGACAACCTTTGTGTTTCTTTGGGATGGATTCCTGAGTCATGTAACCAGTGAACTATGCCAAGTTCTTTTATTAAAATCTCACTGAAGTCTGTAAGATCAGTAAAGAATCACAGCGTCAGAACATCATTTGACCTAAAAGAAACTGAATACTATCAAATCCAATCCTCTGTCTTTCCAGATAAGGGAAAAGGCTCAGAGAGGTGAAGGAACTTGACTAAGGTCACACAGCTTAA